CTTCAAATATGTTAAAGTGACCTTTCAGAGGTTTAGTCTACATCTGATGATTTATTTTAGTCTTCAGATATCTAAGAGAGTGTATTTAGATTATATTTTTTATACCTAGAGTTTTGTGGACCTTTTATACCGTGCAGCTGCATGATTTACAACATTTTCTTCACTATATACAGTATCAAAAACTGCAAAAGGATTGAATTATACTACTTTAAGGCCCAGACTTAATCCTATGGCTTTTGTTTGTTTTTAACAGATGTTAAAAATAGATCTAGAAAAGAAAAAACAAACCATGGAAAAACTCAGTTCATTTAATGAAGAGCTTCTTTCAGCACTGAAAAATAAATCAGTGACTCAAAAGTTGGAAATTTGGATGGAAAACTTTGCACAGCGTTGGGATAATTTAGCCCAAAAACTTGAAAAGAGTTCAGCACAAGTAAGTAGATATTAAATATTATATTATATTGCATTAAAACAAAGATACTTTGATTCCCCCAAAGTATGTCATGAATTTATTATATTTCCTTGCTTATAGTGGTATTGGAGAATGGGGACAGGACAATATATGATAAATTAGATAAACTGATTTCTTTCCTACTTATTCCTTAGGAATGTAAAACTGAATGGCTATGGTTAACACAAAAATAAATTTATATAAAGAATAGCTAAGTCACAGTAATAGTGTGACATGAGTTTATGTTATGAGTTTTCACTATTTTTCTAATTCTAGAAAATCTGATATTTTGAAAGTATGTTATTGTGATGATTAGAAAATGGTATAATGAACGGGTATGCAAAATATGTGCAATAATATTCATCATAATCTTTTGCTTTATAGTTAGTCATAAAATTTCTTGATAGTTGATAACATTCAAATTTATAGCTTATTATATCATATACATAACTATTAAAATAATGACTATAGGTAATATGTTTTAAGCAGATATTTCTTCTATTGTGAGTTAAGTAGAGAGAATTTGTCACCCTGACTTGATAACTGATATGTAGAACTTACAAATATTTGTTGAAAGATGATGTAACATTAAGATACTATATGCAGAAACAAAATTGAAGAAAAATATATTCTCTCATTCATGATTATCAATTATACTTACAACTTCCTTTCAAAATTGAATTTCATATTTAAAATTTATTGAGTCATTATATAATAAATATTTCATTTATTTCATTAGATAAATAGTCATAATTTTATTACTAGTGTTTTTTTATATATGACATGCATATAGATATTTTGCAGTATTTTAGGTGTCTGAGAACATGAAGCATTAGTAAATTTCAAAAGGTTTAATTCAGAAATGCTGTCAGTCCCTTATGTTCTCTTTTGTTCCATAAATTATTATGACAATATATTTCTTAGATTCAGTATTATAAAGGTTATTATACCTTAATAAAACCAGTTTGGAAGATATATATTTTTACAAATACATTTTTAGAAGTTACCAAAATTTTTGACTTTATCCCTTAACAGCAATATGCCTAAAGTTGTTCATATATTCATATCTTTGTTTTTCCTCAAGACCTTACCCAAAATCATATAATCACAGAGTCAGTTCAAGTCTGTGTTTGAAGTTATAAGTTTGTAGGAATAGAGAAACACAACAATATAAGGAAACAGAAATTAAACGATGAGCATTAAGAAATAACAACTTGTACATGAAAATTAATTGCTTTTTATATAACCACAAGTTCAGCTTGATCAACATTGTATAAGGATTCTATAAAAAATTGCAGTTAAGATTGTAACTTTAAAGAGATTCATTCCAATCTGTGTATTTTTCTTCTGTTACAAGGGAATTAAACAATTTCATTAATAACTTACACTCAATGCAGGATTATGGGAAATGCTTTTTAAATAGATTGATGTAACAAAAAGCAAAGTTCCTAGGCAGTGATGGTACATGCCTTTAATCCCAGGACTTGAAGGTTAGAGGCAGGCAGATCGCTGTAAGTTTGAGGAGTCTGCTGTACAGAGTGAGTTCCATGACAGTCAAAGCTACACAAAGAAACACTGTCACGTAAAACAAAACAAACAAACAAATAAAAATAACAAATGAACAAAATTTTGCAAAGAGTTAAAATTCATTACTGTGATAGAGCTTACAGGAAATATGATTTTGTTATCACAAAGAAACAAAGGGATTTTTGACTTTAAGAAGCTGTTACATGGCAAAAGATCAAAACATAGGGTGAAAACCTCAGTTTTAAGGGATTCTCTCTTGCATTTTAAGGTCAGATTTGGTTTGAGGTGTACCTGAACATGTGCTATGGATTTAAACTTGACAAAAAGGATTTATAGGAAAAGAGTGCTTTCTGTTCCCCAAAATCAGAAGCATAGTAAACTCTTTGTGTGAATAGTTAAAATGGGAAAGGAGGGCAAAAGAAACACCATAGGTTGTCTTCTGTAAAACTGCAATGATTATGTCTTTAACTAATGCTTTTACAATTAATGCTTTAACTAATGCTGAGATATACACTGTTTGTTTTCTAAATTCCATGACCCTAATGAATGTATTGTTATCTTTATTTTAATCATGAAATATAATTAACATTGCTGTGACATTAATAAAGGAAGTTAAATAAAATTTACTGACATGAAGCATCATCATAGACACTTATCAGTGAGTATTTTTTCCTCCACCACCTGGTCCCACCATGGCATCAGCCCCAATTAACACACAAAGACACTGTATTTGATATAATGATGTTGGCTAGGTACTAGTTTCTTATCAGCTAGCTCTGTCTTAATTATTAACCCATTTCTATTAATCTAAATGTTTCCACATGGTCTCATTTTACTGGAGAGCTGGCTGGTGTTCTGCTCTCTCCAGTCTCCCCATACTGACTTCTGTTACTACTTCCTCCAATCCTCCTTGTCTCCTAGTCCCGCCTATTTTGCTTTCCTATTGGCCAACAGTGCTTTATTCATTAACCAGTATGAGAAACATATTTACAGACTAACATCTCCCATCAAGTGCTTTCTGTTCCCAAAAATTGGAAGCATAGTAAACTCTTTGTGTGAATACTTAAAAAGGGAAAGTAGGGCAAGAGAAACATCATAGATTGACTTCTGTAAAACTGCAATGATTATGTCTTCAACTAATGCTTTTACAAATGTGCATGCTGAGATATACACAGTTTGTTTTCTAAATTACATAACCCTAATGAATGTATTGTTATCTTGATTTTTAATTATGAAATATAATTAACATTTCTGTGACATTAATAAAGGAAGTTAAAATTTAACTGTCATGAAGCATTATCATAGACACTTATCTAAAATCCTATACTCTGGGAAAGATAAGTTACTAATTAATGTGTTAGAATAAATTAAATGTTGAATATCTGATGACTTGATATATGAATATATCTACCCTGTTGACTCCAAAAGTTTTTTGTTTTTTTTTAAACAATGGAACTTTATCTACTGGAATACAAAATAATGCTATGACTCATACATTTTGATATTACAGTTTTTTTTAACTGAGCTAATGAGCATAAGTACCCTAAAGCTAAAACTAGAGCATTTGTATTTCACCTGTCCTTGCACATGACAGTTGATATTCATGCTATGTTGTCTATGCCTGCATCTATATTTCAGTTGAGTTAATTCTTGTAATAACTTATTCCATAAAAGAGAGAAAATAACATTGTATACATATATTCTACATCATTTTATGACTTTGTGACAGATTTAACACTTTTGATGATCATATAGATAACACAAATCATTACTAAACATAAGATGTTTTCCAATGGACCCACAATACAAATGAGAATATCATGGCTGTAATATGACTCAGTGGTTCAAAGTGCATAATGCTCTTGCAGAGTCCCCATGTTTGGTTCCTATCACCAAGATCAGGAATCTCTTAATCCCTTGTAAACCTATGGATATAGGTGATGTCGTTATTCGTGGTTAGCTACTCCCATTTCTAGGAATTTTAATTAAAAGTACTTAAAACCTTTTCTGTTGAGAACACTTTTTATGGGTTGCAGTGAGTTATCCAAAAACTAACAATCCAACTGATAATTTTAAAAATAAATAAATAATTTACGATAAAGGATAAGTACAATTAAATTACTTCTGTTACTTTGCTTGTTTTAAAATTTCAACTTATTTAAAGGCATCTCTTATCCACTTCAAATTTTAGTGCATCTTTTGGGTAATTCTGTAGATCAAAGATTTTTTATTAGAAAAATGTGAAGTAATGTCTGTACTATCTTCTTTTTACTTGAAATGCTACATAAATATATGAATTAGTGAAGCAATTTATATATTATTTTATTTATTATTTTATTTGCATGTATGTCAGAGACAGATGGAAAATAAACATGAAAATAAAATTTCCAGTCTACTGAAATTAGACTGATATCTGTCATTAACATAATTTACTTACTATGAACTTATCTTTAAAATACTTATTATTCATTTATTGCCTAATGACAATAAATGAAATGGCATGAAAATAAATGCTTCCTAGTTACTAATTATAGAATATTTCATCAATTCTATCTCAAATGGTACATAATGGAAGGTCAGTTAAATCAGAAAAATATAAACATCATTGATATTCAACTTTTACAGGTGCTACTAACACAATTGTTCAAATTCTATGTTTAATTTTAATCCAGAAATCACTGTATAGTTGCTTTTCTTGATAATGTTTTTATTTAATTTTGAAACAAGCTTGCACACTCCCATCCTCCTCTGTTCCCCCCACCGACCCTTGTACCATCTCTTTTCTCTTCCATGGAGAATCTCCAAAGTCAGTCATATCATTTGGAGCAGGGTGTATGCTCTTACCCATGTGTCTATGCTGAGAGAGAATGCTTCTATGTGGAGTGGGCTCCCAAAGTCCATTTGTATACTTGGGATAAATACTGATCCAGTACCAGGGGCTCCATAGACTGTGCAGTCCTCCTAACTGAGACCCACATTCAGGGATTAAGGTTGGTCCTAGGATGGTTTCCCAGCTGTCAGACTGGTTCCATGAGCTCCCCCCATGTTCAAGCTAGCAGTTTCTATGGGTTTCTCCAGCTTGGTCTGGACCCCTTTGCACATCACTGCTGGATTCCAGGAATTCAGCTTCAGTTCAGTGTTTAGCTGTGGGTGTTTGCTTCTGCTTCTATCAAATACCAGATGAAAGCACTAGGATAGCATATGAGGTAATCATCAGTGTCATTATTGGGGTAGGGTATTTAAGGTAGCCTCTCCAGTATTGCTTAGAGTGTTAGGTGGGGTCATCCTTGTAGATCTGTGGACATTTTTCTAGTTCCATATTTCTCTTAAAACCTATTACGGCTCCCTCTATTATATTATCTCTTTTCTTGCTATCCTCTATTCTTTCCCTGACTCAGTCTTCCTACTCCATCATGCCCACCTCTCCCCTCATCTTCCTCCTAAATCCTTCTGCCTTTCCCCATGCTTCCAATTGGCTTGGGAGATCTTGTCCCTTTCCCCTTCTATAGGGGACCCTGTATGTCTCTCTTGGGGTCCTCCTTGTATCCTACCTTTTCTGGCAGTGTGCATTATAGGCTGGTAATCCTATGCTCTATGTCTAAGAACTGTAACTGAGTGAGTACATACCATAGGAGTCTTTTTATGACCGAGTTGTCTCACTCAGAAGGGTTCTTCTAGTTCCATTCATTTACCTGAGAATTTCAAGTCTCCATTTTTTGTTTTGTTTTGTTTTGTTTTTTTGGGATTTTTTTGTTTGTTTGTTTTGTTTCCATTGGTCTTCCTGTATTTTTGTGCCAATACCAAGCTATTTTCAGGACTATAGCTCTATAATAGAGCTTGAAGTCAGTGATGCTGTTTCCTTTATTATACTGTGTAAATTTTATTTCTGATATATTTTTTGTACTGAAGCTAAACTGAAGTAAAGAGAAAAATGCATAAAATTGGAGAGACAACTTACAGAAAGAACCCTCTTAAATATCTTATGAAGTATTTTATTGCAAAGTCAAGGATGATTTCTTTTATGATATCCCATGAGTTTTTAGACTCTAATTGTTCTCATGATCCCAGTGTCAGTTCCTATTGAAGAAGTTTTGTTTCCTTATTATTGGTGATAAAGCAGAATAGTATTTAATATTAAAAATAAATTTAGTTAACCAACTACTGCTGGGCTTACTCTTGGCTCCTCTTACTTATGAAATTTGATCAGTATTCATTCAGGAGACACAGTATTTTATATTTGAAATGTGGCAGTAAAATAATTTTGTTTGTTAAGATATAAATGTCTAGCTTTTTAATGCATAAACTAAAATGTCTATCACTACCACGTTTGATTAATGTTTTATTTTGCATAGTTCTATTTTACATGTAGCACTCATTTATTTCACAAATATTTTCGATTATCACATTGCCTGATACAATGTAAAATATTGATGATAATGGTTCCAATTAACCATTTCAAAATGTCCTATAGGAGATACATATTTGATATGTTTTGAACATATTTGAAATATTAAGGTATATAAAGTAAACATGTAAATTTAGTTTGCTTTAATTGGATATGGTGTCCAAAAACAGAAAATACTGGTTTTGACCTATTAACCCCATTAATTTTAGTTTTCACAAATTCATAATTTATTATAATTATTCTAATTAATAATTAAATATTTTGTGCAATTACTCAATATCATGGAAGAATTTAGTATATCAAATTAGTTTCATGACCTAATTGCATGGAGTAGGTTTAGAGACTAATTATTAATTTTTATACATAATGTATTCTGTTCTAATTTTTAGCGTTAATGTGTGATTGTTTTCTTACTTCTTAGTTTCAACGAAAATGAAATAGCATTGTCAGTCATGGTATTATACATAGTAAAAATGATATTTAGCAATTATATTTCCATATGTTACTATTGATGTTTTAAAAAGTAATTCATTATGCCTATACTACATGGCTATAATTAAAAATAGATTCCTCTCTCATACAGTACATTTCAACCACAGTTTCCCCTCCCTCCATTCTTTATAGTTTCCTGCAACCACACCTCTTTCTCAGGTCCAATCCCCCCCCATTTCCTCTTCAGAGAAGAAAAGACTTTCAAGAGATGACAGCCAAAATGGACAAAACAAGATATAATTAGATAGTTGCCTTGACTTTGTATATTCTTAAATACAATTTTATCATAAATCATATTGCCATAACCATGTTCTTTTAATCCTTCATGTACAAATCTAATTAATTTTGTAGGAAAATAAAAAAGAAGATATTAACCTAAGAGAAGTCAACTACATAGCCAAATCCTTAATATCAAAATATTGCATAAAAGTTTAAAAGAAAAATCTTTAAATTCTTCTATTGTCTATAATCAGACCACTTATAGATATTTTCAGGAAAAATATTCATATACACAGTTATTATATGTAAAATTAACTTTCTTGTGATTTTAAATTTCACATTAAAATGTTTCTTGCAATCATAATAAAATTACATTTCATTCAGAATAGAGACACACTTAAATTGTTCATTTAATGTTCTTTCTGTGTTAATTGCAATTACATTTGAGTTTATATATTAAACAACTATAAAACTGTTGCCTTTTGCTTTAATCTTAGTATGTCCTGTCATTGGACATACTTAGAGTTGCTCATAGCTCTGTGATTGATTCTTTATAATGAATTTATGATTGGATTAGAAAAGATAAAATATAATTTTCATTTAAAATGTGTAAGAGTTCAGTACCTCTTGGTGTAAGTTGGATATATTTTTGTTATGATTGTAGTTGTATGTTTGCTTAGTTTCCATAAAGAAGCTACAAAAATAAAATGCTTCAACATGCTAACATGCTTGTCTAAATGCTAGTATTTTAAATGTATATAATTGAACAAATTTTTTGCAGATGATAATTTGTTGTAGGATTTCATTCTTTTGTGGCCAGTTTGGAAGAAGAAATAAATCTCCTGACTCTTCTCCTGTTTCTTCCTATGGAGAGAATCAGCCAACACTTAGTCAAGGAGAGATGGTACACTAAATTTTTCTCACATTTCTTACAAAGTTCAGGAGCGTTCAAAAACAATTCTTAGTGAAGCCAAATACCTATTCTTCTGCTATTGGCCAAAAGAAGAACTAATGCAGGATTTATTTTGCATTTTTGGAAATGAGTTTTCCAAATAAACTGGTTACAGAAGCACTGTAATTAATATGCCAGATGTAACTTATGGTCATAATAAAGTGAACACAGTGAGGAAGATAAGGGGAAAATTTAAAAGGACATAATATGTCATTTTGTACAACTTGTATATCTTTCATATGGAGCTGACAACTGTCATTATGTGTATCATATAGTAGGGTAAATTTGTGAATTATATCTCTCTAAATATGTCTGATCTGAAGGAGAGGGTAATCCTAATGATAAATTCAGAAACTCATGTATTTGAATATATTCAGAGAGTATTTAAATGCACTTTTGAATAACATGGAACTCAAAGATACTTATGGATTAATGAGTACTTTATAATAATATTTTGCTGAAAGTGCAAAGATGCTGATTTTTATTAAATAACATTTTATTCCAAAATTCAACTATCTTTCTAAATATGCACTGAACAAACTAATCATTATTAAATCAAAATTAATTTTAAAACTATATTTAATATATGTATTTTTGAAGGTTTGTCTTCATTCAAGTACCTTCTTAGATGAAATAATTAGAAAAAATATTACCATACTTATGCAATGTACCAGGTGGTAGAAATTGTGTTCAGATATTATAATACCCTTTATCTTAATGTTGTGAACACTTTAATCAACATGTATTAATGATGCAGCAGTAGCATCCTAATTCTTCTTAGTTTCCTTTACTCCCTAAAGTTTTTTCTAATACACTCAGGAGTCACTGTTTATATCTGATTTTGAGATTACATAGCTCTTCTATTTCAGTCAACATAACTTAAGTCAGATAAAATAATTCGATTCAGCCTTAATATGGTGTTAGTTTGATCTGAAGGTCAATCTACCAGTAAGCAGGAACAGTTTCTAATTATTTTTCTACACCACTCCGAGCACTCTTTACCAAAATCTTTCGAGCAGTGTCTGACCTCTGTTTCAATATTTCTCACAGATTTCACAGGCTGTCACCACAACTCAGCCATCACTAACACAGACAACTGTAATGGAAACGGTAACTATGGTGACCACAAGGGAACAAATCCTTGTAAAACATGCTCAGGAAGAAATTCCACCACCACCCCCCCAAAAGAAGAGGCAGATTACTGTGGATTCTGAAATTAGGAAAAGGTGAGATCATTTTATTCATGACTTTATTCACAGATAAAAATTCATTTTTAAGCAGGAAATCTCATTTACATTTGTCATGTTTTATAACTTTCCTCATATTTCTTGAGGCTTGGGTATTTTGTAATGTCAATTAAATAGTGAGGAAAAATAATGAGACAAGTTTTTAAATTTACTCATGAAATCATTTTGTCAATAATTTATGACTTAATGAAAATGCTATTTTCTGGATTGAAAGAAGAAAGTACAAGGATGAACAGCCATGACACATCTTAATATCGAAAATATCCAGTTTCATTTTGTTTCATTATATATGACCTTTCTGTTCAGGTCTTAGTTTTGCATTAAATGACATTCTTCTAGTAATGGAAAGTGCAATTTCATGACGAAGTACACCTCTGATAGGCTAGATCCATTTTGCTGCTTTATGAGAACATATTGTCTCAATCTGCACATCCTAAATCAGAAGTAAAAATGAACAGATTTCCTGATCTTTGGTATTTATAAAGTCTTATCTTGAAGGTGCTGTTATTCTTAACTGATCTTTTTGTGAGTATTCTTAGTAGACATTGTAGATATGTTAGGTATTATGAAATCAGTGAACTATTAAAATAACGGTAATAAAATTTCATAAACACAGAACTAGCATTCAAATCATAAAATGTAAAATTTTCATCCTATATTCATTATTGTAATTTTTAGATGAAGAAAGTACATTTCAATATGCCCTGTGTTTCTAAGTAGCATATGCTCAGGAAAGTATAGAACACTTGACATTAGAATTCGCATATACCAGAGTATAGAATTGTGGGGAGAATTCATACCTAAAAATAGTATGTCAGATGTTCTTAGCAAAGGAAAGGAAACATCTAGAAAAGTTATAGGAATACATTATGTAGTATATTTTATTCATTTATTCATGACTTATAACTTGATTTGAAAATTCCAAACTAACTCTTCATCATGAATATGTCTAGTTTTCTGAGTTAACCATCTAGTTCAAATATGTAAGATCATTATACAACAGCAAGCCTACTGATATTTTATGAGTTATTAACTAAAAAATAATATTTATATATTTTTTAATTTTTTGTGTATGTGTGTATATTATTTGTGTATACAGTTGGTGTGTGTATGCGTGTGTAATATGCATATTACATATTTTTTGTGTGAGCATGGACATATGCATTCCACAGTGTTGGAAGAGGGCAACATTGGTGTTGGATTCTTGAATTTCAATTTTTAAGGCAGGTTCTTGTTTTTCTTATTGTTGCTATGTTTGTTGTTGCCATTTCTTGCTGCTCCTTAGGCAACAGAAATGTGAAGTTCTTGGGATTCTCCTGTCTTTGTTTCTGATCTCATATTAGTTACATTACTATGTCCACCATTTACATGTGCCCTGGGGATTTAAACTCCAGTGCCCAAAACTCCATAGGAAAGATTTTACACATTGAGCCATCTCTCCAGTACTCATATTGCATTTTAATTGGTTAAAATAATATATTATATACATTTCAAATTTCAGTGTCTTTATATATACATCCCACTTATTCAAACATTTATCATCTGTGACTTCTTTCACATGACAAAGGCAAGTGTTAAAAAATATAGCTCTATCTCTGTGACTCCTCACAAAACTAACTGACACATTTGATAAATAGGTTTTCTGAGCTTTATTCCATTCAAATGGTTGTAAACACTGCATGATTTAATGCAACCATTTTATGCAGCAAATTCCACATAGTCTCATCACTACAGCAGTGGAAATGTTACTAACTATTCACTGGGAGAGAAGAAAGAAACAATGACACAAATTAATGAGTAAGTCTTTTAATTTTCATTCAGGTTTTTCTAATACCATGTCCACTGGTTTATTTAATGCAATATTAAATATGTGTGTATAGGTGATGCTTAGTAGCTCTTATTTGTAGATTGTATTTGTTTTTAAATTATGTTTCATTGCTTTTGTTTTAGAAAAAAATGACTAGTGGCTGAACAATTAGCCACCTAAACTCTTTTTTTTAACATATGATCCCCATAGTGAATGTACTTGACTAGGATAAGAGGACAAATGAGGAACATACTGATGGAGTAAATGAAACCCTGCACTTATTATGGATTTTATTATGTTCTTAAAACAATATTCTATTCTTTACATGAATAACATTTATTCTTCCCGATAATTTTCCAAAATAGATATAGGTATTATTAGTATTATAAAGAGCTTCTGAGTACCTGAGCTATGATTGTCACATGGACTGCATAGTAGAGTATCTCTTTAGCAGGTAGAAGATGAAGGTGATATTTCATGGTTTGACTAAGACTGTTTTATTATAGTTGTCCCAGCATAGTTATGCTTAGGGCTAGCATGCACTCTACAGGTGACCTGTTTTGAACAGCTAAATGATATAGATAGATATAGGACTCTACAATGTTAACTTTAAACTGAACAAAAAGAGCAAGAGAAGAAGAATTTGAAGCAATTACATTAACTAATTGAAAATTGTTTACCATATGGAATATGATTACAGAAGTTTCATGAAATTATGACTGTAAAATTTATGTCAGCTAATGTGTTTCTCTCTCTCATTACATATCTGTAGCACATTTCATGGTCAACTTTGTACTTGTACTCTATTAATTCCCTTACTTTCTACATCTATGATTAGCTGTGTTTTCTTTTTTGCCTAATTCCTATGACAGTGTCTCATAAATCAAATCTTTTTGCCTTTGTGACTTATCACAATTGTTGTCTCTCAGGTATTTGTGGTCCTATGAATTAGTGACAACCAAAACATGTTATTCCATATATGATCTCTTCCCTAAAATATGTATTTTTAAAACTAATGCATTGATGATAATATTTCTACATGTGAAAACAGCCAGTGCCTCAAATCCAGTTTCTGTTGTCTGGAATTGCATTGCCCATGTATTTATTTGTAATACTTGGTTTATATGTCCAAATGAGTAACAAATTATGAAGACAAGTCTACCAAAGTTTGAAATTTGCTTGTTTCATTGTCAGGATATGACTATAGGAAAATTACTTAAGATTTATTCATCAGATAAAACAATTTTCTACATTATCAAGCACAGTGTATATAAAGAAGTCACTGAATCTAGTGTTTATGAGGTAATACATTTTCAATTTTATTGAAAATAGATTCTCTTCTTGTACAACAAATTCCAGAAGCAGTTTCCCCTACCAGCACTCCTCTAAGCTACCCCCATCTTCCCTCTCCCCCAGATCCACTCCACTCTGTTTCCCCTTCAGAAAAGAACAGGCATCCAAGAGACAACAGTAAAACAGGACAAAACAAGATAGATTAAGGAAAGCTTAAAACCTTCACTCATATGGAGGTTGGAAAAGGCAACACAGCTGAAGAAAAAGAGTCCCAAGAACAGGCCAAAGAGTCAGATATACCTTCTCCCACTGTAAGGAATATCAAGATTCTCTCAGCCAAAGTCTAGTATATATTTTGATTGTATGAGTGGTATTCTGACTGCCAGATATGTAAAAGATATTTTTAACCAGGAATAAAAAATGTCTGACATTATCTTATGTAACACGGTATCAAGTAAAAATTCTTTCAAAATAGGAAAGATTTTGTCATCTTTCCAGAAAATGACAAATTTTTGAAGAGATGAGTATATATGTACATCACCCCTATGTGATTATCACTAAATGTGTTTGTGTATGGAATTAGTATGTTTTATCCATCACTATGAGCAATTATTATCTGTTATAATGAGTCTTAAAGAAATAGATGATAGTTGGATTGTTTTTTGATGAAGTATGGGTACCTTCAGATATCTCTCTCTAGAAACTAAAAGAATATACACCATATTAGAATGTATGTCAAAATTTCACATCTCTTGGACTCTGACATAGAGTTTTGTTTGTTTTATAAGTGAAGAAAAAAACCCAAACACATTTACTTCTCCAAATATAAGAGGAACTAGAATTGAGTGCATAGGCTGGCTATCTCTCATCAGAAAATCCAAAATGCTATACTTCCAATAATTTCTTTCACCAGCTTGTTCTCTACACTAGGCTCTGCACCTCTCAAAGCAAGGTCACCAGAGAGCTCCTTAATTGCCAGCTTCAAAGGTCACTCTTCAGTTCTTGTCCTTCTTGACCTTTGTATTGTGCCTGACAGTGATAATTAGTCCCTTCTGAAAGTTTCTTTACTCTCAGTTTCTGTTCTCTGCTGTTTCTTTTCCCTCTGGTTTTCTGACTATGTCTTGTCAATATTCTCTTAACCCTTTAAGGTCAGTTTTCACAACTAAATTTTTTGAATTTACTTTTTCTAACAACATATTCATTGCTTGGATTTTGTTACTTATATTCTTGTCAGTGTTAATTATTTGTAACTTATAATTTTCAAAGTAAAATTTTTAGCTCACAATCAGCCTTGATACTTACACTTGTATAAATAAAACACTAGTTATATAAATTTAGATTTCTATGATAATTTAAAATGTAGCTCTGTGTTTTCGATTTTGCAAATCTGAACTATATCATTCATATTGAATCCTCAAAGATTGGCAATGCCTGCCTTTTGAGAGTGAAATACCTAGCAATCTATACAGAAAGTGACAGTGGTCTCTGTAACTGCCATATCACCAAATTCTTTCAAAATGTACCTCATAAATTATTGTCAGTGTATTTCTTGAAATATGTCCTAGGAATTCCTTTATATTTAATTGCTAGCTTCATTCTCTGCCCAGTGTTTATATACTAGTGTTACTCATCATTGCCTAAAAATTGTTCCCAGTTCATAATTAAATGAAGAACTTTAACTACGATAGAAATTATTGTACCACTTCCTTTTTCACGAAATTCTGGCAAATATAAAATCAGATGAAACAGTAGAATTTGTGAGTTAATTGATTATTTGAAAACTCTCTTATCCTAACACAAGAGTATAGCATATAATTTAAAAACTGTCACAATCTAGTGGAACTATCATGAACCTGAGTTTCCATTAAGGACTCTTAGT